AATTCGATAATTTGCATGGAAGAAAAATTGGCCGCTCTTTACCAACTTAAGCGAAGTCGTTTTTATTGACGAACAATACTGGCATTTGGAACAAACCACTCTTTCTGGTTTTAAGAAATTGTTTATAAAAACAGGGTAGCCGGTCTCATAGGCTTTTAGCCATTTTTTGGGTTTGAAAAAAATCTTCCAAGAGCTAATTTTTAAAGTGTAGGCTTTTAAACTTGCCAAATAACAAATAGCTGGATTAAGCCTTAATCAAGCTATTTGTTGTTTTAAGAAAACAAATAACGGAAATAAAGAGATGATTACATTCACCATAGCTAAGCAATTCCAACAATCCACGTTTGTTAGCAAAAGTAAAAATTTTAAAATGTCACTCTGGGTTTGTACGTTTCGAAACTTTCGAAAACTGACGCAAGACAAGAACGTTTTTTTTATTCTCGGTTTCAATTCGCATGAATTTCCTCTGTTCACGATAACCGTTCGAAGAAAAAAGCCACAGGGAACCTCTTCAGTAATACATTTCTTTAATAAACCCTCAATAGTCAAGCAGCTGTTTATTGAAACTGGTGCTTAACTTTGTCATATATATGTAATTCCGAGCATTCGATCATTCAGGTGCTTAATATCTCTTAAACTTTGACAAGAGATGGTCTTCTTTGAAGGATACCCTAGTAACTCACCCTCATTTTCCTTAAAAACTTGGAACGTACAGGAGACTTAATTACCTTCTTCGACTGAACTCGCTAATGTAATGCAGATGGTGCACAATAGTATTTTACGGGGGTCAGTCATTATATAATTATAATTTATAGTCCAAGACACATGACTCCAGTCAATCCGTTACATTAGGTTAAATTTTTCACCTTATATTATTTTACCAGTTTAGCTTTTGGTGCAAAGAGCCCAAACAGGAAGAAAGAAGGTCTAATATTAATAATCATCTTGGCTTGAAACCAACAGTTTCTATCGTAACCATAGCTACCGGACAGTAATAAAAGAAAACACGTTTTGCTTAATAGCACTAAAGTTGGGCACCAAGGAACGTTGGATCTTAACACCTTTCCATTGTTTCCACCAGACATATTTTTTACAGTATATTTTTTTTCTACGACTAACGGTTAAATATTGTCAATTTTTATTACTTATGGCTAAATTTTTTGGCCGTGTTACGGCTAACAGTTAACCCCATTGAGACCCTCTAAGTAGCCCAGGCTTGCAGAATGTGCCTCAGTAAAGGTGAAAATATGGGAACGCTTTCTCGCGCTCGGAGAAGGCTATAGTCCACAGCGGCAAGGTTCGGGCGGTACACTTTGGCACTCGCTCTAGATCTGTGTTGCTAAATTTTTCTAAGAATTTAGAGTTGGTGCAAATTTCTATATAACCTCATAGATAACATGAAAATATAGCCTGGAATCTTGCAATTTGCTAGAACCAAACATGCTAATGATGCTAAGAATACATTTTGATTATTTGCAATCGACATCTAAATTAATACGTCACTATTATCTGCCACAGCCAAAACAACACGTGCTAAAATTTTGCAGATAGGAAGAAAGCAGCATTGAATGGAATATTTTGACCAAGTGAAAAATAACCAAACATATTCTACTATTATTGCGAAACATGCTCATGGCAAAGTTTGAAATTGTTTTTTTATCTATATTTTTAAATTTCTCAAGAGTGAAATTCATCATTATTTTGTCAATTTATTTAAAGTTTCCGGTCGCTCAATCGAAGAAATTTCGATCGGCCTGCTGGCTTACTTTTTCGATAGTTTTTTTTTGATAATTTAAGTAATTAAAATTGTATTTTTGTAGAATAGGGGAATAAAGTTCTTAACTCCCGATCGAACAAACTTTCTTTGTTGAGTGGTTGAGACTGCAGGAGTTGTTAATTATCTTAGAGACGCAGAGGGATCCACTTAAACCACTAAACAACCCCAGGGTGTATGTCTCAATGAAAACTCTTGTTTAACTAGAACACATCACGCAATATTGTTTGATAGCACCTGTCTGATTAGACTTAGGACCCTTTATGCACGAAAACAATGTTGATTAACACGTCTAGTGCATGGGTAGCCGTTCAAGTCTCCCAACTTGTATTACTATATAAACTGATGGTAGAAAATAAGATAAAAACTCATACAAGGAAAACTAAACACGCTTTAGAAAATTATGGATGACAGAAAAAAAAAATTCTGTCTTTCCAATGTCATTAGCATAATTTAACAATAAATATACTGTAATCGATTGAATGATAATGTTCTTTATGCATGAATAACTTGAGTCTGACATTCATTCCACGATAAGATTTGATATCCACCCTTAACTCCTCTATCTCTATGTAGTTGAAAAAAAAGCACCAAAACGAAACAAAACAAAACAAAAATTACTAGGGTTCCAAATATGAGTATGTAAAAATTTGGCGAGAAGGCAGCTTCAGCTACTTCATATAAACAAGATTCCCACAAAGGGTTTACTTCTATAACCTTTCTCAGTAATGTTTCTTCATGTTTATAATGAGACCCCTTGTAGAAATTATATTTCCATCATAACCGTAAATAAAAAGTCGGTGCTGTCGGTTCCACACTCGTCATAGTTATGAAACTGGAAACGAAATGATAAGTTTACGTCAACCTGTCTGGCCCTGCACACTGCCTTTGTCATTTATTGTAGGATTTCGTGAGCGGGACTATCGCTACATATGATCTATTTTTATTACCACATTTTGTGAGAATTGCTTTTCGTCAGTTATTGACGCTTCAGTCAATCTTGTAAGGAATTTACCCTTGAGAATGTAAAAATAAAAGAAAAATGAATAAACTCTAAATCTATGTTTTGACGGGTAATCGATTCTATCAAAAACATTTTGTTGTTTTTTTGCAGACGGGAATTTTATGATTTTCATGGAAGAAAAATGAGTCGCTCTTAGCCAACTTAAGCGAAGTAATTTTTATATAAGAACAATGCTGGCATTAGGAATAGACCACGTTTTCTTGTTTTAAAAATTTGTTTATAAAAATAGGGTAGCCTGTCTCGTAAGCTTTTAGCCATTTTGTGGAATTGAAAAAAACCTTTGACGCTAAATCCTTTTAAGTATTATTTTTTAAAGTGGAGGCTTTAATACATGTCATATAAAAAATAGTTTGAGTGAGATTATCCTTGACAAAACCTTTGCACAGAAGTTTCGTGCAAGTTTCAAATTTTAGGCTCTTCCAAAATTAATCTCACAGCAAGGATACCCAGGACTGAAATTTATTCAACATTATTTAGTCAATACGTGACATGAGGTCACTTTTAATTTTTAAGCAAGCCTTGAAGACCCCAATTTTTAAAACTCATTTTATGATGTAATTTTATTGAACATTTTAATATTGTATTTTTAACTATTTTTAACCTTTCAAATTTAACATTTTTTTTTTGGCAAGGCCTCAATGAATAACACCTTTGGTGATGTGAGCTCCCTCACATTATTACTACTATTATTATAGTGTTTTGCTGTGATCAACAGTTTTCAACACCAGAAAAAATTATGTAGGTGGAGTTTTCTTCGAAATGAGAAAAAAACTATGATTAAAAACAGAACAGATAACTGAGCTGTTTCAAGAAAACGAACGAGAGAAATAAATCGTTGATTATATTCACCATAGCTAAGTAACTCTACCAACCTACGTTGGCTACCAAAAGTGAAAAATTAAAAAAGTCATCCTAGATTTGTACGATTAGAAAACTTTCGAAAACTGATATAAATCTGCTCATTGGCGCGAGCAAGAACGTCTTTTTTGGGCTTCAATTCGCATGAATTTCCTCTGTTTACGATAACCGTTGAAGAAAAACGCCACAGGGAACCTCTTTAATTATACATTCCTTTAAAAAACACTCAATAGTCAAGCATCTGTTATTGAAACTGGTGCTCGACTTTGTCATTTATGTCATTTCGTGCATTCGATCATTCAGTCGCTTAATATCTCAAAAACGTTGACCAGGGATGATCTCCTTTGAAGAATACCCTAGTACCTCGCCCTCCTTTTCTTTAGAAACTTGGACCGTACTGAAGACCTAATTACCTTCTTGGACTGAAATCGCTAATAAAATGCAGAGGGAGCACAATAGGATTTTACGGGGTCAGTCATTATATAATTATAACGCCTTTGGCACCTGACCACAGGGGACACTTTCAAGGAATAGTCCTTTTTACAGTTCCCGGCGCCATATTAGATTAGTAGCCGCGCAAACACGATAGCGAGGCTGCCGGTGACCCGCGTATTACAAAAACAGTAAATACAGCTGATCGGAGAAGTCTTTCGTGGTTCAATCGCTTCTAAAATGGTGCTAGTTTGCAAGGATATGCAGATTACAACGCTAGAAGATATCCAGAAGTTAAAAGTGAAGGATTTAAGGGAAATTTTGCGTTCTAATTCGGAAGCGACGGGCGGAATAAAAGCAGATTTGGTTTTAAAAGTCTACGCGATACTCATGCGACACGTGCTACGACCGGGTGAGTATCAGCAGCAAAGTAGCGATAATACTGCTCAGGATCACCAGAATACAACGGAAAATAGTGGTGACTTCAAGTACGATGAAACTTTAAGACGAATCTCTGCTCTCGGATGGTCCACTGATTTACGTCAGCTTCCCGAACTAAATTTTATTCAGCTTTACGATTACCTGGTTGTGTCAACGCGCAATTACCGCCACATTGTGCTCAAGGGAACAAATTACTAGCATGCACTGTGTAAAAATACATGTACAATTTCATTTTTAAATGAAATAAAGTGGGAATTTTTGGTTCTATGATAACTTACTATATGGAATCCCAATAGTTATTAATATGCATTGACATGCAAGTAGTATTATTTGGAATACAAAATTAATGGAACCCAAGGGGCTGATTACAGGAAGCAGGCTTAGACTGATAGCTGGGCTTCTGCCACAATTTTAAAATGCAAAAAAAGTAAACATTTCTACCTAATAATAAATAGACAGCAAAAACTAGAATCAAAGATTGGCCGGTGGTAGTAAAGGGGGTAAAAAGTTTGTCAGAAGGCCACAGACAGTTGAAATTTGTGTTGCATAGGGGCTCAATGTATTAGGTAAGGTACCATCTAAAATGTGGTAGGTCTTAATGCGGCCAATTGCACGCTCCACGTGAATGCGCACTGAAGCAATGCTCATAGTCTTTTCAGTTTCAGCTGCTGTCATTTGATCACGGCCAGCCAAAAATGGTGGCATGTTTACTGTAACGCCAGCAGGTACAATTGCAGAAATGTCAAATCCGCGATCAACCATGACATTATCACCCACTTGCAACAAATCTAATACACCACTCTCTCTTGTTATTTGCTTGTCAGACACACGCCCACCCCAGAGATCTGACAAAAAAGTGACCTGTCCATTTGGGGTTACCCCAACTAGCAACTTCCAAGTATTATGGTGTTTATAATCTGACCATGTCTCTGACTGAGCCAGCATAGCAGATGGTCGCTGAATGAATAGCTCAGTACAGTCTAAAATTATCCTGGTTGTGGCATACTGGGCAAACTCCTTAGGCATGTTTTTGCGAACAAGCTCCTGGGTGGGAAATGGAAACAGGTCCTTGAGCTCATGATAGAGCAAATTTATCCAGGTGATGCAGATCCTGAAAACCAGGCTGGCACTGATGCCAAATCTGTCGGCAAGGTCCTGTACAAATAGGCCAGCTTTCAGTCTCATGAGCACCAGTAGGAACTCATCCAGAAAAGTAAGCTTCCTTGATGGTCCAGGTTTACTCTTGTTATCATCAAGTTGATAAGGCTGGCTTTCCTTTACTAGATTTTCACCCTTCCAGTACTGCATTTTGGAAAGCTTTGGCTCAATGTATTTATAGAAGCTTATTAATGCCTCATAACTTGGGAATCCGGTGTAAAATAAAACAGCAGCATTGTCATCTTTAATTTTGTCAATGGAAAATTGACGTTCCAATAACACAGCATTTTCCTTTTCTGCTTCACTGAGTTTTTCCTGGCAGTCAGCTAGCTGAGCTTCAAGTAATTCAATTCTCCTTTGCAGTTCAAGGACACAATCAGGCTCTGTTTGAGGGGACTCACACTCCACTTCAGCTGCATTTTCATCACACTCTGAAAATGAATGAGCAGCATCAGTTGACGCATCAATAGAAGGAAATACTGAGCAGGATCCAAACTGCAATGCTGATGCTGCTACTCCAACAGTTGACTCATCCATCTTTCTTTCCTTTGGTGCCTTTCTTTGGTTTGATTGCTTTGTCCAGCTAAATATACATGGCTCTGCACCTTGTAAATAAATAAATAAATAAAACTTATTAAATGTGACAGTAATCATTTCAGATTTATTTATTATGAGTTAATCTGCAATTAAATTGATTGCTTTTGTGAAGTCCAGCAATATTAATAAGCATACATTAAATATTCTATCACTCAGTGATAAAAATCACAGGACATGAAACACTTTAAATCATAAAGTTTACAATAAAACAACAATCGTCGAATAAACAACCAAAATCTTTGATTTGGGAAAAATTAAACGAATCCTTGTTTCTAAAGACCAAAATATCTTTGAATTTTGAGTTTTTCATAGCTCAAATCACGAACGCACACAACAAAAGCTCGACAATATCACAAACCTGTCTTCAAATTCCAGCGACCAGAAAGTTTTTTCGAGATATCTTCTGCCCGAAATGACAGAGGACAGTGGCGGTGGAAACAACAAAGCCGTCCTGTCCGTGTCGTCGCTTGATAAGTGAACACCACCGATTCCTTCGCTGAGCGTCCTTGGGAAACTCGAAGAAATGATAACTTGTACGAGTACCGTTTACATTATAGGCGCTATTATTGCAGTCAAAGGCTGCACAATACTTTCCTCTTCTCTTTCGAGGGGCGGAGGATGTTTCCCCGACGCTTAAGCTTTCATTCATCCCACCAAAGACTCGACAAACCAACGAAACGCTTGAAAACACCAACAAACTCTTATGCGACGCCCGAATCGGGTCACCGGCAGCCTCGCTATCGTGTTTGCGCGGTTACTAATCCAATATGGCGCCAGGAACTGTAAAAAGGACTATTAATAATAACAATTTATAGTCCAAGACGCATGGCTCCAGTCAATCCGTTGCATTAGGTTAAATTTTTCACCTGGTATTATTTTACCAATTTAGCTTTTTGTTCAAAGAGCCTAAACAGGAAGAGGGAAGTTCATTTCTAATATTAATGATCATCTTGACTTGAAACCAACAGTTTCTATCGTAACCATTGCTACCAGACAGGAATAAAAGAAAACACGTTTGGCTCAATAACACTAAAGTTGGGCACCAAAGAACGTTGGATCTTTGAAGGTAAGAAATGGTCATATTTAATGCATGGATAACTTGAGTTTGACTTTCATTCCATGATATTAATTGGATTCTCCTCTATTTCTGTGTGGCTGAAATTAAACGAAAATGAAAAATACCGAGCTTCTAAATGTGGGTATAACAAACTTTTGGCGAAAAAAACAACTTCAGCTATTTGAAATAAACAAGATCATTATCCTTAATTTTTAGTTTTCTACAACATGTTTACTTCTTGAACCTTTCTCAGCGATATTTGTTTTATGTTTATAATGACACTACTTCTCGAAATTGTAGTTCCATCATTAACATAAATAGAGAAAAGTGCCAAATTATAAAAAGTCAGTGCTGGCGGTTCCAAGCTCGTCACAAATTGTGAAACTCGAAACGACGGGAAATTTCAAAAAGAGATGGCAGAGGATTTAAAACAGTGACAAAGCCCGCTGTTTAGGTTCAATTTGCGGTAAAGGAAAATAGAGTTGATGGCAAAAATCTGCTTCATTTGAAACATACAACTTCCCAAAAATTATGGTATTTTTTTCTGTACTTAAAAAGATTTCCTTTCGCAAATTGTTTTGTACTGTGCCCAACTTAAACTGATATGCATCTCGTTTGAATCCCGTTCGTAATATGACAGAAGTGATGATTTGAAATAGAAGAACCTTGAAAAATATGGAAGTTAATAGGAGAATGAGTCGAGAACTAAATGTTGACTTGCAGGTCTCGTTTACCTTAAGTCTGTAGCAATTTTATCTAACGTAGGAAACCTGACAATTTTTTTTTATAATTTATAAGATATTCCAACGAACGCCTTACAAGCCAAATACTATAATGGATGGTCCGGCTGATTCCAATCGTAAATTACAGAACACCCTTTCTAAATATCAATTTGCTATTATCCTTAAGAGCAAGGTTGCGATTAACAACAACATTCAGAATTTCGTCTCATTTAAGCCCTGGATTAAGTATAGCAGCTATCTGCACTGGATCATGCTCAATCATTATAAGATATCCAATAGGTTCTGCCTCGACACTTTTTATGCAATCCTAATGTATCGAGACATAGTTCGTCAGTTTCTCCAAAAAAAATGATGGGATTTCTGTAGTTTAACATCTACCGTTTTCAGGAGGTTTATTGTTTATTCAAACTAAAGAGCTTTTTAGAACTCATCATTAATTAATTTTGACGTTAATGAATGTGAGGGAAGATAAAATGACTAATTACTGAGGACTTCAAACAAGAAAACCATCTTTAACTTGTTGCGTTCCTTAATTGTTTAGAGTAAGTAGGAGGGTCAAACAATAAAATATTTTGCTCGATGTGGGTAAGTGGGTGGCACAGCTTAACAACTATAAACACCATAATCGAAATTCAAAAGGGAGTTTCCTTTACTAATTTCGTCTACTTAGAATAAGAGACTCACAATCCATCATAGAACGTGGCTTATTTTATAATTTCTGATTTATCTCAAGATATAGTCCAATTTAAGAATTCGTGCTTTTGGAAAATGATAGTGAACTGCGCGAGTGCAAGGCTAATGTCTTTTTTCAGCGGATAGGGTTACGCCAACCTGTCTGGTCCTACACATCGATTACCATTATCCGTATGATTGCGTGAGCGGGAATATCGGTACATAAGCCGGATCTATTTTTTTTACCACGTTCTGCGAGTATTGCTTTTTGTCAATTATTTACGCTTCGGTCAATTTTATAAGGTGTTTCCCCCTGATAATGAAACAAAAAGTAACATAAAATAAAATAAATTTTAAAAAACGACGCTGAATACATGGATAGATCTTGTGAATTGGAAAGTGTAGTTCTCGAGGGAATTTGACTTTTGATTGCATTATCGGGGTATGTTCACCCAATATTTTCAAGAATATGTTTATGATGTTATTGACTTAAACGCACTCCATTGAATGTAATTATGAAGGAATTGAATGTTATGGCAATTTGTGTAGCTGAATCCCTGAGTATAATCAGTAGGTTAACACCAAAAGAATCATAGCTCGCCAAATCCAAAGTCTTCCCGTAAAGCAAAACAGAAAACATCACAAATGCGTTTATAAGCAGAAATTAAAACGCGTGCCCACGTATTTTGTTTGCTTCAATCATTTCAATGGCACCGAACTGACTGTTATTTACTTTGTCAACATCCCATTTTCAATGCAAAAAGGTCGGTTTCTATCACTCAATCCATTATTAAATGCGGGTGGTGTTATTTCTGTTTAAAACTTATTTATTTCAGCCCGTGTTATTTCCCATCACTCTTTATCTTTATTTTGCTGATTCACAACAGTTGATGCACTAAGCTTATAACGGGTCGTTATGACAAAACTTAAATCCTGAACTCATTAAACATGATTTTTAAAGGAAGGAACCGTAGTCTTGTAAACTTGGTTTGTTGACATTAATGGCATTTAGCAAGGTTGTGCTATTATGTTAGTTGATAATATTCACCATAGCTAAGCGATTCTAACAACCTACGTTGACTAGCAAAAGTAAAAATTTAAAAATGTTATTCTAGATTTGCACGTTTAGAAAACTTTCGAAAACTGGTATAAATCAGCTCATTGACGCAAGGCAAGAATGTTTTTTTTTTCAGCTTCAATTCACATGAATTTCCTCTGTTTACGATAACCGTTCGAAAAAAAAGGCTATAGGGAACTTCTTCAGCTTTATATATTCTTTTAATAAACACTTAATAGTCAAGGACATATATATGTCATTTCGTGCATTTAATCATTCAGGTGGTTAATATCTAAAAAACTCGCCCTCATTTTCCTTAGAAACTTGGACCGTACTGGAGACCTAATAACCTTCTTGGACTGAAATCGCTAATATAATGCAGAGGGAGCACAATAAGATTTTACGGGGGTCAGTAATTATAGAATCATAACACCTTTGGCACCTGCCCACATGGGACACTTTCAAGGAATTAATAATAACAATTCATAGTCCAAGAATCATTAATCCAAATCAATCCGTTGCATTAGGTTAAATTTTTCACCTGGTATTATTTTACCAATTTAGCATTTGTGCAAAGAGCCTAAACAGGAAGAGGGAAGTTCATATCTAATATTAATGATCTTCTTGGCTTGAAACCGACAGTTTCTATCGTAATCATAGATACCCGACAGGAATAAAAGAATACGCATTTGGCTCTATAACACTAAAGTTGGGCACCAAAGACCGTTGGATCTTTGAAGGTAAGAAATGATCATATTTAATGCATGGATAACTTGAGTTTGGCTTTCATTCCATCATATAAATTTAATATCCACTCTTGACTCCTCTATTTCTGTGTACTTGAAATCAAGCGAAAATGAAATTTATTGAGCTTCCAAATGTGGGTATAAAAAACATTTGGCGAGAAAACATCTTCAGCTATTTGAAATAAACAAAATCGTTATCCTTAATTTTTAGTTTCCTACAACGGGATTCCTTTTTAAACGTTTTCTCGGCGATATTTCTTTAAGTTTATAATTACACCCCTTCTCGAAATTGTGGTTCCATCGTTACCGTAAATATAGAAAAGTGCAAAATTATAATAAGTCAGTGCTGGCGGTTCCAAGCTCGTCACAAATTGTGAAACTGGAAACGACAGGAAAATCCAAAGAGCGATGAGGGAGGATTTAATGCGGTGACGAAGCCCGCTGTTTGAGTTCAAATTACAGTAAAAAAAATATAGAGTTGACGACAAGAATCTTCTTCATTTGAAATATCCAACTTGTCAAAAACTATGGATGTTTTCTCTCTCTGTACTTATGAAGATTTCCTTTCAAAAATGTTTTGTCTTATCCTCCAAAAATTGATGACTTTGAAAGAGAAGAACCTTGAAAAATATGGAAGTTGGTTTTCATGTCTCCTAATCAGAAAA